CTCCCCACCACCTGCTCTCTGCTTGATTTACAAAATTTTAAGCACTTAATTTGAGGTAAACTACGTTAACTCAGTGGAGCTCAATTCTAGAGCTCTACGCTGGCCGCCTTCTTCAGTTCTTTGGAGGAAAGCTGGGATAACAAAATGTACAGATAGATCGACTGGAAACGACATCCTTACAGCTATATCCTACCCTCAACAACTCTTATAAATAAATAAATAAATATATTCTTGTCAGCTAGGTCTTTAAAAAAAATTCAGCTTCCTTTTCCTTTATTGCTTAAGGAGAAATGGCGATGAACTGAAAAGGTAGTATGGTAAAGAGACATCTGACAGACCCGGGATATATATGATGGTGCATCCATGTCTATTTCACATATAAAACGTAAACTATTCTTTTTCACAAGATGGACCACACCAGGAAAGGAGCCTGTCCCCTTTCTCACCTCAACTAATTGCTCCATTGCTTAACCGATTTTTCTCCTCAGTATGCTCATTTCTGGTAGCAGAGCGGGATTGGGAGAAAACCACTTCAGTCGATGGAGCTCAGTGAGGCAAGGTGGGGGAAGGGACAGGATGTAGCTTCCCTCATACATGTGCTCCAGTGTTCCCTCTAAACTGAATTAGTGTGAGCTAGCTCACAGTTTTTTAGCCTCCGGCTCACACATTTTTGTCTTAGCTCAGGCAGGATGGCTCCTGAGCAAACTCATTTATGCGGCAGCCGAATCGCTCGCTCACAACTTTAATGCCAGTAGCTCAAAAAGTAGAATTTTTGCTCACAAGACCTCAAAACGTAGAGGGAGGATTGATGGGCCCCATTTTGTATAAAAAATAAGACTTCTCCTCTGCCCCATATAATTGGGGCAGACATGTGAATAAATACATGCAGCTTTCCATTTAGCCTGGCAATCCTTAAACTCCTGAAGGAGTGAAGTTCCAAGGATTATAAGGATAAATAAAACAATAGGTAACATTTTACTATATCATTAACTAAAATTATATAATAATTTTAGATTCCAGTCCTACCACTAAGTTTTTAAAAGCTCCATTGATTTTAGTGTTTAACTTCCTCCTGCAGAAGTCAACGAAACTCAAAAGGGGCTTAATTCAAAATACAAGTAAAATTCTGCAGCTTAAGCCCCATGATTCTGTGATTCTAAATGCCCTCACAAATAAAATGGCCCTAGAGCACCTCCTAAAAATGTCTTAAGAAGCACAACTTCTCACCTCCTCAAGGAACCCTTCTACAAGTTAGGAGCCACTGTAGAGGAGGTATGGACCCTAGCAGGTATGGGCCCTAGCAGATATCCGGCTGGCCTCGACCAGGGCCAGGCCTTTCTCAGCCCTGGCCCCAGCCTGGTGGAACTCTCTGCCAGACGACATCCGTGCCCTGCCTGATCCATTAAAGTTCTGCAGGGCGTGCAAGGCAGAGATGTTCCGAGAGGCCATTGGTTAAGGCCAGCTACAGTTTCTCTGCATCTGCCCAGCACCCTCCCCTCCCCCTCATGGAAATCATGAAAATTTGAATGCTAATCATGCCATCTTGTTACAGTACTTATGCTGAATGTTTTAGTGCAGAATTTTTGTAGTTTTAACTGGTTTTAACATTTGTATTGGATTTTATGTTGTTGTAAACCGCCCTGAGCCCCACGTAAGCAGGGAAGGGTGGTTGAGAAATCGAAATAAATAAATAAATAAAATAAGTGGGCCACCACAAGTGGAGGAACACCAGAAGGTGGGAACCAGAAGAGCACAGTTGTTGCACTGGAGCATATGGCGCAGAAACTTGGTTCTTCAGATATGTGGTCCTAAGCTGTGAAGGACTTTAAAGTGCTAGAACCTTGAATTTAACTCAGAAACAAACTAGCATCCAGTGTAGCTGTTTTAAAAGAGGCAAGATGCATTCCTGTCAGCTAGCCCCTAATAGTTGGGCTGCCGTTCCCAACCATGTTTTCACCAGTAAGCTGTAACCATTGATTTGTGTTTTTAAATTTTATTGTAATTATTGAAATATGGTGTGACCCACACTGAGCCCACTCATGGGATGGGCAGGATATAAAATAAATAAATAAATAAATAAATATAAAACCAGTTATAGTTTCTGGGTTGTATTCAAGGGCAACCCAGCATAGGCCCTGTTAAGTAGTCCAACATAGAGCTTTATAGTAGTCTGTTACTCTCCTTAATAGTGCAGAATTATTTCACTGCTGGTTCAGCTTTTGCCCTTCTAATATGAGTTTCCGTTCCATAGCTCTGTCGAAACTCAGTGTGCTTTCACTGGGCCTTTTAATACCTTAGAATCAGTATCTAACCTAGCCACCCTAGACTTTTATGGTCAAATTAAACAGAGCTGTTCTGCCAGTGCTGAAATGACTCACGTCTGCAGAAATTTCTTCTGTGTCAGCTGGTGAGACAGGAAACCTGGTAGGCGTTAGAAAAAGGACAGGAAAACCTGCACTCTGTACATGTGCTCTGAGGGTCACAATAGGTCACATATTTTGTATAAGAATGAAAATGCATTGGCTGCAGGAGTGAGATTCTTACTTGCTTAAACACCTTAAGAAGCACGTTGCTCAGTCTAAATTAAACCAAGGGCTAAAGCTGTATATGCTGTGAGTCATAGCTAACAAAATATGACTTGAAATGTTCATTACAAAATTTGTAGTTGTGCTTCAAATGCAACAGCCTTCCTGAAAACATAGATTTTAAATAGCTGAGTTCCTCTCCTGTACATCTGTGAGCAAGCTAGGTGAACTGTTATTTTTACAAAGCAACAAATAAATAAATAATTATGATTAGTATTGTTTTAGTCTTGATCATGAAAAACTAGTTAAATGTAGAATAGTTGAAACACTACAAAAATGTTAGCTTTGGCAATTAGACAAAGAAAGAGAGTTCTAAAGTTGTAGAGCATGAAGAATGTCTACCTATGTGCCAATGTAGGATAAACCCAGATATGAATGGCATATTCCAAAATGTAGTCTTTGTTTGTTTGTTTATTTCATTTGAAGTAAATGAAAGAACATCGAATACTTTGGGCTTAAAGAACCTGCAGAACCTTTTATTCTCCCCAGATCTGCTACCAGTCCTGAAGATTGGACCTGCCCTGCAAGTTTTGTGCTTAGAACTCTATTCCCATTGGTAAATGTATAGCACATAAGTATACAAAGGTTTTTCCAGTGTGGCAAATAGTGGCTGCCCAGTGCCATTTCAGGGGGATAGCATAAGCACCCTCTCCCCACTTGTCATGATTGCAAGCCCAAACTGGGCTCCTGGGCACATTAGAGTTGAGCTCCAAGCACAGAACTTGCAGTATACATCTGAGTGACAAAATCTGGGATAGACCTGGGCAGGAGGAGAGAAAAATGGAAGTGCAGAAAAGTCCTTACTGTAGTCTAGACTTAAGGTTACAGAATCTGCAGTAATTGACACCATTCACAACCAGGGCCGGCTCCAGGGTTTTTTGTACTCTAGGCGAGACCACCTTCTGGCACACACACCCCTGGCACACACACACCCTGCACGCCCACCAATTATGGGGTTGCCAACCTCCAGGCAGGGCCTGGAGAGAAGGAAGTCCAGCTGCTGAGCGCGCGCCACACACGCACACACACACACACAGTGGGTCAGACTACCTCGGGAGGTGGTGGATGCTCCTGAATTCCAGGTATCTCCCAGATACAATGAAATATAAAGAGAGGGTGAGCAGTATCCTCCCAGTTCCAGCTAACCCAAGCCAGTCACTCACTGAATCAAACTGGCATCATGCTCAAACACAGACTCTTGCCAAGTATCATCACTTATAATCTCAGCCATGTATAAAATAAGCATCACCACAAGCCTGTAAACACAAATGTATACACACCTCCAGAGACTTGGAAAAGTTATGTGTGCAGAGGGGCTGCAAGTAAGGGGGCGGATGAGAGTCAAGGATGCTGGCTGGGGCCCTTCCCCCCCCCACTTGGTAGGAAGTGACTGGAAGGCAAGTAAGCTATGCTGCCGTGGTGGTGGTGGGGCGATGAGAGTCAAGGATGCGTCACGTCTGGGCAGCAGCGGGATGGGGGGGGGCGTGGATCCCTGGGGCCCTTCCTCCCCCTCCTCCATTGGAAGTGACTGGTCTGGAAGCGAACAGTGGCGCAGACCCTCCCCCGCGCAGACCCTCCCTGAGACTAGCCGCCCCCTAATTCATGCAGTAGCCAAATCGCCCGCTCAGAACTTTAATGCCAGCAGCTCACAAAGTAGGATTTTTGCTCACCAGACGCCACAGCTTCAAGGGAGCCTTAATCCGCCTCCCCCCCCCGCCTCGACGGCATTTTGCTTCGCTGGCTTGCTGCAGGCAGCCTGATGGAAGCCTTCCCCCCCTGCACAGACCAGGGGCGGGGGGGCAGGGCAGTTGACGCCCTGGATGGGCCCTGCGCCCTAGGTCCTGGACGGGCCCTGTGCCCTAGGCCAGACACTAGCCTAGTTGGCCTAGTGATAGAGCCGGCCCTGTTCACAACCTTGCCACTGCCAAAACCATGACTCACCAGCACCAGACTGCAAATGAAGGTGGATGTGAGCAGAGTGTGGATGAACTATGCTAATCCAAATCAATGGCATGATCAGTTGGCATTGGCATCAGGATTTATCTGCTCAGGCTGCTGTGCCTGTATCATGCAGACTAGACCCACTATGTAGTGTAGGAAGGTGAGTGTACAGGCCCTTCCCCTTTTTTGCCGCTCTGTGGTGATAGAATTATAACCATAAAAAACCCTGTTGCTGGATCTAAAAATGGTTTTAGGTGTATATACATTTCTTGTATCCACTGTCATCCCTGGTCAGATGGGTTTTGCAGTTTTCAAAATAATATAAACCTTGTTTGATCAGAGGTGAAAACTGGGATGATGGGAGCCAGGGTGAGGACCTGTCCCTCTGTCAAATTGCCTTCAGTTCTCTGAAAAATCTGTTGTCTAGCATCAGCCAGAAAATATCACAAATGGTCACTCTCTCCTTCTTTCCAGAGGTGGAATGGTCCAAACAAGTGAACAGTATGAATTTGTGCATCACGCATTGAGCCTGTATGAAAGCAGGTTGGCTGCAGAAGCTGTCCAGTGAAGCCAAGAAGGAAGAACGAAATGTGTAATTTTCTTGAGGTAATTCGTTTAATTACCTACCAGCAGCTTCTTCAAGGAGTTTACAGCAAAGGAGAGGCAGCCGATTTGTAAAAGGAAAGTGACTGGTTTTTAAAGAAGCATAAAAGATTGATGGACCCTTGTCTTGAATGTATTGTGAGTTCCCTGAAACAGTTTTAATGAAGGTTAATGTACCGATGTTACATTTGGTTTACACATATAGACATTATGAAGGATTTATTACTGTATTAATGGAATATGCCACACTGAATGTACGTAACATTATGTATGTGTGTTCTACAACAGTTGGACATGGGAAATGCCACTGAGGAGATTTGTACAAATGCTTTTCATGTTTGCAAAGTCTGTTTTGTGAATAGGCTGTCAGATGTTCAGCTGTACCTGTTAAGTGCTATTACCTATTACGTGGTAAACTTAATTCAGAGCCGCTTACGATCCTCATGACTGAATGCCTCAAGGGATCAATGACTGGTTCAAAAGGAAAAAAAGCATTTTAAAAGCATATGGTAACATAATCCATTTTTTTAACTAGTCAGAAAACAATTTGTATTTTATATGACAACCAACTTCCGTAACATTATGATTTATTTCACATGTATAGAAAATTCTGTAAAACATTGTTGAGCACAATGGCTGTGATAAAAAGGGAAATTGTCTATCACAAGCCCCATTGACACAAATGAGAGTTATGAAAGAAGTCTGCATTTCAGTGGGGCGTGCTGTACCCTAATGAATTCTTCATTTATTTCAGTGGGGCTTGTGCAAGAAAATTTCCCACTGGATCCAGTCCAGTGTCTGTTATTCAATGTTTATGCATCTATTCAGTGCTGTTAATTGTCTTAGAAGCAGCTTTTTTGCTCCAGGACAGAACCCAGTGTATTTGTAAACTCATGTGAGTAATTTTACTTTTGAAAAAAAAACTTTGTAATGGTAAACATTTTAAGTATTTGCCAGTCTTTTCCTAAAGAGTTCTTTTTACAAAGAGAGAGAGAGAAGCTATCAACATTTCAATATCTGGCCAAGAACAGATAGATGTTTTGGAGAACACAGAGCCAGAGGCTGGATGAAAAGTGAAGATTTCGTATGGAACTGCCTTTATGGCAGTTATCTATTTGCAAAGAAAAAGGGCACACACCCTTTTGGCAAGAACTAAGCAAAATTAACTGGGGGACTGTCTGAATGCAGGGTCTAATAATGAGTTTTTAAAAGCAGCAACAATGTTATCTTTGCTTCAGATAGCTAATAAACTTGAATACAAAATATTTAAAGATTGTGTTATTTTATTGTTTTATTTCACTGATGGTCATCAAAGTTTACTTCTCTCATACACTAATAGGCAGATGGAGCCCAGTTCTCACGTTCCTGCTGGATCAAGTACAAATAATACTGTCTGAGTTTCCGGGGGGCCCTCTCCTCACGGTATATGCAGCAGATAGGAAGTGATATGGGACCAGTACAGATTGGGGGAACTTCCATGGTGACCCTTACCTAGTTAAGTAATGTCCCCTGAGATATTGTCTATACTATCAGATAACTGCATTGGTGTCCAACACAAAATGTAATACAAAACATAATTAAGAAAGCACACACACACACAGGGGAAAGTAGCATTAGCTACCTACCTGAAGAAATGAACAGTTCCTTCCAGATAAGAAAGTTTCCAGGCCCAGCATCCAAGCCACTTCATAACTGATACATGGGTGCATCCTGCACATGAAAGACACAGTGACAAAAGCTTTCCAGAGAAGACTTGACCAGAGCAGAATCTCTAATGTGTACAGCTCTGCTCTCAGAGACTAAGAGGTGCCATATGAAAGCTTTTCCATAATGTCTTGGGCAACACTGCTAGTCAGAACAGGGTGCAAATGATAATCTATGCTCAGTGTTATGAACTCCACTTCTGGCCAGTTTCCTCTTACAAAACGTCCAGTGATAAGAGGAGTTTATATGTATACTGACATAGATATAGTGATGTTCATTAGTTTAGATGGCTTTAAAAGGGCACTAGCCAAATTCATGGAAGATGGATCCATCGATGGCTGTTAAACCCCAGGAATGCTCATTGCTGGGAGAACTACTGGTGGTTGGGCTTTGGCCTCTATGTTTCTCTTTGTGGGCTATTGGGAGCATCCAGTTGGCCACTGTGGAAAACAGGATGCTGGACTAGAGGGACTGTTGGTCTAATCCAGCATTCTTATGTTCTTCTTCCAGTTCCAAATCACTGGAATTAAAGCAACCAACATTATATGAACTCATAATGTAAGAACATTAAGGACCTTAGAGTGTTGGCTCAAGAATTGACTTCATCCTTCTGACGTATGGAACATTCAAGGATGAGTTACATGTGGTATCTAATCACGTGGTGTTCCTGGATGGATTCATAGCATATCATTACAAATGCTGGTGATGTTTACAGTACAGTACAGTATATATTTATGTAGCCCAATCAAGATCACCTGTAGACACATAACAGTTTGCAGACAAGCAATTAAATGAAATTATAGTTCCTTTTCCCTAGCTAAATCTGCTGAGTTTTCAAAGGTGTTCCACTACCGTATTTTTAAAAAAATCTATGTATCCCTCTTTTGCTTGGATTTTCCTAACTGGAACAGATATCCAGCACATACCAAAGCATCAGATGAAAGTACAAAGTGGTGTAAAACTCCCCAAAACCAGTTGAATAGAAGGAAGTGTTCGTCACTGACTTTTTCCTCCTGTGAAGGCACATTTCCTTCCTAGCCTTCGCTTCACTTATCTGGAGTATGCTTTTTTTAAAAAAAGAGAGAGAGAAGCAATGGGAGTTGCTAGAGGGAAAATGGAGACTTTATTTCACGTTCTAATTTCTACCTGCTTGGCCTTTGCGATCTGTGGTAAGTACAATTCCTCTTCAGTTACATGTCTGTTCCACATCCTGGCTGTGATTCCCGAATGATCCTTGGAACTTCCCCATGATGCTGAGAATGACTTCAGTTTATACAAGGAAAATAGAGGGATGGGCCAATAAAATACAAACTGGTTTAGCTTCCATTCAAAAAGAAAATAAACTTTCTTTTTAATATAGTATCATTCTTTGTTGAAAGATCATGTCTCTGGACACTCCATTTTGTCCAAATCCATTTGGAGAGGGATATATATATTTGCCTTCATGCCTGCTCTGTCGGAATCATACAACTACAGGCTTACAGATATGTTTTAGATAAAATCTGCTGTAATTCCATGCTCTACAACCAAAAAGAGAAAGCAGGCACCGAATTGAAAGCTTTGACTATTTTGCAAGGAACTGGGACTTTTTACAAAACTTTAAAAAGATTTGTGCAACAGAAATTAACACTGAAATTGTATTATTTCATGGTGCACTATAGAATAAGGGTTGGTTTGTTTGCTTGCTTGTTTTGGATGATTATTCCTGAGTCTTACTGCTATGACCAATCTGGTCTTAATTAGAATATAGTAATTAGAAACTTCAGTGCAATTAGAAGCATAAGTTATCAAGTTTGTATTAGTAAACTAATCCCCCATATTTATATAGAACATGTGGAGTACAAACATACAGATATAGAGGCAAACAGATTTTGGAAAATATCCTTTCCCCAGAAAATGGATTGCTTACTGGAGAATATTTTCAAAGGAACTGTAGTGTGGTGTACTGCTTAGAGTGTTAGACTTGGACCTGGGAGGAGCAGGTTCTAATCCCCAGTCCGCCATGGAAGCTTGCAGGGTGACCTTGGGCCTATAATACATTTCAGCCTATCACACATACTTTACAGGGTTGTCGTGAGAATAAAATGTAGAAGAAAATTATATAAGCCACCTTGGGTCCCCATTGGGGAGAAAAGTGGGGTATGAATGAAGTAAATAAATAATAAAGACTTGCTGTAAAGTTGTGTTTGGACTATTTGTTTTCTTGTCGAAAAATCTTTGACAGCTTTTAAAACTCCATGTTTGTATGCCTGTGTGTGAAGGGTGCCAAACAAAAAGATCAAGACAAAAGGCAAGGGCCATGGGTACAGGTTCACTTAACTCTTGAATCGTGGTGGTGGTGTTATTTTCTAAAAGTTAATATGTACTATTTGCTTTGGCTCTTCACCTTCCAGGAGGGTTTCTGATTCTCCATGAGCGAAAACAGCAATGTATTTATGAAAGCCACACAATAGCACAAGTGGGAAACTGCAACTTCACCAATCTAAACCAGCAGTGGAAATGGATGGATGAGAAGCTTCTCCATGTTAGATCTGGCCAGTGTCTGGCTGTCACAAAATCCTATGCTGCACATTCCCGCAGAGTGATCATCGCCAGCTGCTCTGAGGCACCCAAGTGGACCTGTCATAGCAAGGAAGGGCTCCTTGAGGTGAAAAACAGCTCTCTGTTCCTCCAGAAACAAGGCTCAAACGTAGTAGTGAGGATGGGTAGGAAGTACCCCCATAGTTGGATAAAAACTGATGTCGACAAGAAGGGACAGACTATCCATGAAAACCTGTGCTCCAGTAAAGGTAAGCAGCTTCTCTCAAGAAGATTCCTGTGAACTATCAGACTGCAAACATGTGTCTTGAACTCACTGATGGTTGAATGAACAATGACATTTAATTCTTAGTGACAGATCTAGGGAGAATGAAATGCCGTTTGAGGTAACCTAAGAAGAATCCTTTAAGAATCATGTGTATACATTTGTTGGCCTGCTGTATGTTTTCAAAGTTAATGTTTATTCCTTCTGCCCTGTATTTCTATGGTATGTTGAGCTTCTGAATACATTCATAATTTTATTGAGTATAGGAGGTGTATATGTTTCAAGCAGTCTGTAAATGGGCATAGGAATCATCCAGCATCCTCCCCTTCATACATTTCATCATAGAAATCAATATTCAGAAATGAGTCCCTTCTATTTTTAAAAAAAATCAAAATAAGTGGTGATTAATACACAACAGTCTTGCTTTCTTGCCCCAGCAAGTTAGACTCCTCATTCAT